CCCCAAAACCCCAAAACCCCAAAACCCCAAAACCCCTGTATCCTGGATCTGTGATAAATTAAGTATATTAAATTGCTATTAAATATATAAATTAAAAGAAGGAGACTTAACAGAGCTGCTTACTTGAAAATATCATTGATAATTTAGATACTTTAGACGATCCATAAAGAAGAGACTTTTTGGAACTATTTCCCTAAACATAGAGTTTTTTGAACTTTTAAAAATTAAGAGAAAACTTGGTGGTCAAGAGGGGAAGTCTTGACTCAAGCTTTCCTTAGAGATTATTTGGCAGAGGTTGCCTGAAATCATTCCACTCATCTGTATTTGTAGAAGCCGATCATGTTTGCATTCTCTCTGAAGCATCTTCTGCAGACCATGAGTGAGTACTTTCTGATAAGACCATGGGTATTGTTGCAAACTCTGCATGCTCTTGAATCCTTTCCGTACTTTCTGGGGTGACTATGTAATTGATTTGGCATCTTTCTAACTTGTATTAGAGTTTATATTAATTAATAATTAAATCACACAATCGATTCAAACTATCACCTTGTTAATTATCAATATTATTAAAATTATAGTTTAATCAGCTTCAATCGATTTCTCTTCAACTCCTTCAATATTTCAAATCTATCTTTTTCAAATATCATCAATGGAAACCGAAAAGAAGACATAAGAGCCTTAGATATCGAAAGATGCACTATAAAGCAAGCCAGTTCAACAGTTAAATTTCTAAGATAAAATTAGAAAAAGGCTAAGTGAAAGCAAAGTTGCTTTTTATTTTGGTAGTTCCTTGGCAGGTATCGTTAGAACACTCATAGGTAAGTAATTTTACCTTTATATCAATAGGGTTCCCTATCGAGCATCCCCTAGATTCAATCAAAACTTAATGGCAAGCTAAACCTCATCTTAGAAATGAAGCAGCTGTAAGTATATACTCTTTTCTTGCTGATATCTTTTGTAGATCATTAGAGATATTTACCAAAGCAAGGGTTTTCAAGGGTTTTATGCAGGAGCTTTACCAAATATGACTAGATGCCTGCTTAAAAATTCATATCGTTATCCTTTAATGGTTGGACTGCCAAATCTCTACAAGAACTATTTGCCTGAATCAATTAGAGAGCATAAATCCCTTTTGAAACTCCTCACAGGTTGCTCTATTGCACTTGTGGAGTCAACTATACTTTGCCCAATTGAAAGGTTAAAAGTCTACTTTATGACTACAACTGAGAAGATAACTTATAGATAATTCTTTAAAAACTACTAAAATCATTTACTGAAGGAACTATTTAGAGGATTTGGTCCGCTTCTCGCAAGATAATCCATGGCTTGGACAATATTTTTACAAACTGATCTGTTCGTCAAGCAACAGATAAGAAGAATCATGAAGTACGATGATAAGTAAGAAATCCCTAATATGTTCCTATTGCCAACCTCAATGATAGTAGCATTGATAAATACTACTCTAGTGATGCCATTTGATTGTGTTAAAACTCACATGGAAAAAAGAGATCCATCTTCAACATATTTTGGATCTTTCAAAGTTATTTACTAGTCTGGAGGCATGCTAAGTTTCTTCACTGGATTTAGACTTAGATTCATGCTATACTTTATGAATGCTTTCTTTATAGTAACACTACTAGAGAAGTTCGAAAGTATCTCCACTTTTCTTCATTCGAAAAAGGAATGAAGCCAAATTTAAGTCTGATATTCTAATTACTTAAACAAAACATCTCACGCACCTAAACTTTTTATATTTTTTGATCAAAGGAATTCTCAGTCTTAATGATAATCTTTAAGTCTGGGGTTTTGGGGTTTTGGGGTTTTGGGG